AACACCCCCTGAATGGGGGCCTTTAAGGAAATAAAACTGAACTGAACTGAACTGAACTGGACTTTCCAAAAGGGTTTCTGCCGTCGTTGATCTCCGATCTATTCAAGCTAGAGCGGCTGCTAGACATGTTCCCTGCACAGTGTAGCGATGACAGTCGCAGAAGGTTAACTGTAATGTCTCCTCGCCACCACAGTTGTCGCAGTAATGAGACACTGTGTGTGCTTGTTATTTAAGGGAACAGGGTAAGCCCTACACCTGTCATGTATTTTAGGTGAAGCTTATATACCTTTTTCTCCATAACCATAAAAGCTACAGTTATTTTACTATCAGTGATCATGAGCCAGTCCTATTGTTTTTTTTAACCACGCAGATGTAGCACTGAAAATTGCAATGCTCATTCTTTGTATTTTTTTTACTTCAGGTACCTAATTATGACTCCATAATAGCTATTGGATATTATGGTATTTTTATAAATAAATTAAAATGCCATGTTGCAGAAGAACACTTCCTCACACAACAATAACTCTGCTTCAGCATATTCCCTATTAAGTTATCTAAATACTGACCAAAGTTTTATTCTAGATACTGTGGTTGCCGAGAAAAAGGAACATAAATACAAAGACGGCATGTTTTGAGATAATCACATTTGAAGTTGAAAATCTGCATTATTCCAAAACTACGAGATAACAGCAAATTGACGGACATGTTCAATAGGCACCAGCCCGATATTTTTAGCAATTTTTCTTTTGTTGTTGAAACGCCTTGCCTAGCGAGCCCCCTTTGTTGCCTCCATGCAGCCCTGTAGCAAAGTACTGTTGACGCAGGTCAAGGGTGCGTAGGCCCTGTACTGTGCAGTGTCCTGGCAAAATTCCAGAGGAGCTCAGCATATACACACGGGCTATATTGCCATCGTTAAAAGGGAGCACAGCATAAAGGGTGCATATTTACTGTGTTTGGTGCCCGACGGAAACGTTTTGTTTTTGGAGCACGCTCCCACACGACAATGCAACGAGTCGTTGTGGTTTCGAGTTTTCTCATGGACGCATTAAGCAATTCTGGATGAGCTATGCTTCCAAATAATTTGGCATAGCAGCCACAATAACAGATGCTGGAAGGTGTTTTTTATGAACAAGTGGTTCACCATTCAACTGGGCTTCGTTGAATTTACACCAAGTTTCGGCATCCTTCAAGCAAACGCCATGGAATTGATTGGTATCGTTTGACTCCAAATGAGAATACGCGGACCGGACAGCTTTTCGCATGTCCTCCCTAAGCTGGCTCTATTTCATTTAATAGCCCAACGATAATCGAAAAGGCTGCCATGGTGTTGGCAGAGCCTGCATGTGACAAGAAAAAAATGGTTTTGCGCTTTTATATATATTTGTGCTCATCGGGAAATGTCAAGACAAGTAGTACAAGAGGTAAAGTTAATGAAGAGGCATATATATTATATGGGCTTCTTTTTTTGCTGTAGATTCGCACTGCCCACTTATAATTGCGATGCCTCTGCAAGTGGCATGGCAAGAGGCATTGCAATTGCAATGCCTCTGGAAAAAATTAAAAAATGACAGCTCAATCAGCAAGTGAAGTCTGAAGAGTACCACGTTCTACGCTCACGGATAACACCCAATTAAATGCTCCTTTTTTTTCCTTTCATGGAACTATCGCTGCTTCTCATTGCAATGCCGTTTCATGAATTCATGCAGACACAGTGATGTAATCACAACTGGTGCGAAAGCCGTGCTCCCATAGCACACAACGCTTCGCATTTGCCCGCGAGGCTTTCCGAGTGTCCCTTTCGAACTACCTCTCGTCGCGCCGCAGAAGCAGGAGACAGGGAGGAGGCTCCCTGCAGTCGCCATACGTCTACGACTGATATACGTCGCCAGTTCCCCGCCGACCACGCGCTGAATACAGGTGCGTTTTAGTCACTTATGGCCACCCATTCGCACTGAGAGTTTTACAGTGTTAAGTCTATATTGCCTGACAATGTAGGGGTACACCCACATTTCCTGTCAACATGTCGCAATCAAAAGGACCAAAAAATATATTGAAACCCTTACTAAACAAGCGTCACAGTTTCTGAAAGACAAAGAAATTCTCCACCAGATCATTGCAAAATATTAAAATCACATTTTTCGCTTTGACCAAACGAATGAACAGCGACGAGCAATAGAACAGCCTATCTACCTCACTGCACTCGCTCTCCAGTTTAAAATTCGTACTACAGTAAAAGCTCGTTAATTCGAATTCCACGGGAACGCTGAGCAATTTCGAATTAAACAAAATTCGAAATAATGAAAGTGAGCAAAAATGGGTGGATTTCGGGGGTGGGGGCACGAAAAATATTTATTGGCCAAAAAAGTCGGTGATGACCATCTGCTTCTTTTCTCCGAATGCCACAGCTGCGGCTCCCTGTTCCAGCGCGCGGACGCGGCGCAGGGAATCCTCTTCATCCTCTTCAAAGCTGAAGAAGAAACGCACCACATTAAGTGCCTCCATCACCGCAGAAGCTGACTGGCGCACAGGTGCTTCGTTATTTTCGTCTTCCTCACCTTCTGGCTTTTCAGCATCAGGCTGCGCACCGGCTACTTGAGCGATGATGTCCTCATCAGTCAGGGCACCACACACCGATGCACCGGTGTCAACTTCAACATAGTCGGCAAAACGTACGTCCCGGAGAGTGTCGCGCAATGCCACTGGCATGAGCTCCTCAGCCCCATCCACGTCGACGTCACAACTATTCTGCGCACTTCCAGCTGCAAATCCACTGTGGCGGAAACAGTTTGCGATTGTGGTCGCGGTCACCTGTTCCCATGCGCGCACCAACATGTGCATGGCAGTGAGCAGCGTAATGCCGAAGGTTTCCTGTCGCCCGCGCACAAAATCATTCTCTCCAGCACGTGACGCCTATAAAAGCACTTAATGTTCCTTATCACACCCGGTCCATTGGCTGTAGGGCCACAGTCGTATTTGCCGGAAGGAACACCAACTCAGTTGCTCTCAGCTCAACGTCGACTTTGTGCGCCGAACAGTTGTCGACCACAAGAAAAACGCGTCTGCCGCCCAGTTCCATTCGCCTGTCGAATTTCAGTAGCCACTTCCTGAATAGGTCACCTGTCATTCAGGCTTTTTTGTTTGCGGCGTACTCCGTCGGCAGTGAGCGAATGTTTTTGAAGCACCGTGGCTCGAGTGCTTTGCCAATCACAAAAAGGGGGACCTTTTCCGTACCGGTCATATTTGCGGCGACCAGAACAGCGACACACTCTTTGCTGCGCTTGCCGCCGGAACAGCTGTCTCCCTTGTAGGTGATCATCTTGTCTGGCTGCGACTTGAAAAATAACGCTGTCTCGTCAGCGTTAAACACATCCTGTGGCGAGTAGCTCTCCAAGTACTGCAGCAGGGTGTCGCTTCTCCAAGTAGTGCATGTTTCGGCGTCCACTTCTTTTGCCTCGCCGGATAACGTGCGGAATACGGGATTGTGCCGCTCCCTGAAACGATGAAACCATCCCTCGGAGGCGAGAAAGTCTTCAATGTCCAAGCGCAGGGCGAAATTGGCTGCCTTGGCCACGATGATAGGGCCGCTCAATGCGATACCCTGGGCTCTCATTTCTTTAACCCAGATAATGAAAGCTGACTCCAGTTCCGGGAACTTCGCTGTCCTTAGCCTTTTTCGACTGGCGCCAAAATACTCGGCTTCATAGGCGTTTTCAATGGCCGTCCTGTTGCAAATGTAGGTTGACAACGTGCTCGGAGGTATGCCGTGCTTCCTCGCAATTTCGTATTTGCTCGAGTTCCCTTGGTCAACCTTTCGCAAAATCTCCACCTTCTCCTTGACAGTCTTCACGCAGTAGTTTCCCCGCAGCATCTTGCAACTTCGATGCGGAATAAGACGGCTTGACGGCATGAACGAACAACGTGCTCGAGGAACAAAGTGACGCTGCGGGGAGCGGCCTAGGACTGCTAGGACTACTCCGCCGACTCCTCAGCGTCCCGTGGGTCCCGCGTACAAGTGGCACCAGGCACTGAGATAGAAGGAGGGCTACGGAAAAAAAAAAATTGCTCCCTGGATTTTGGAGGCCATACTTTGCTCCCCCTTTGCTCAGAGGCCACTTGAAGCTCGAAAAAACTGGTCGTGCCACCTATCGTTCGACCGTAAAAGCTTCCACTAGTGTTTGACGATGAAGACGCTCGGCGGCGTGCGCTTCGAATTATCCGTAGAGGCAGCAATTTCTGTTCAAATTAACGAATCGTTTTACACATGGTCTCCTATGCACTGCGGACTGAACAGCGGCGACCATTTCGAATTATCGAAAATTTCGAATTAATGAGGTGTGAATTAACGAGCTTTCACTGTACTATGACAGAGATGAATGAACTTCTTCCCTGAAATGGTTTTTTCACATTTACTTTTTGTTTAGACCACTACTGGAGCAAATCACTAGCAACATAATTCAATCGTAGCACCCCTTATTAACCGAGCTATCGTAATAAATTTGTACCCTCCTCCTCCGCTCCAGCTTACACATTCAACTACACCTCAACCCTTTCTTCGAGCGCTTAGGGCTAAGCTCCGCCTTCACGGGGCCTGTGGCGTGCGTTCCACAGCCAATCAAATTGACAGCCATGTGATGTCAAGTGAGCCGAGCATGCCGCTCTGTGAATGGGCTGACCGAATCGCCGAGACCTGCAGCAATATTGCAGCTTAAAAATGTCGTAATAAATAACACAGTTTACGCAGAGGGCTCAAATATGACCCTTGAGACGTGGTCTACAAGCCCAATGTGTTTGTAAAAAATATTTGAAACCATTTCCCGGTCCCTTCAAGGCTAGTTTTTGCTGTATTTGAGCAGCTCTTTTTCAAGTAGCAAATGTTCTGTAAATTTTTATCCACAATTTTCTGGTCCAGACCAACATAATTTTACAAAATAAAAGCGGGAACAACCAAACTCGCTTATGCAATCTTAAGCAGAAAATGAACCAGAAAGTGTACACATTAGTGCAAAAAAATGCCCACGGTTTATTGACTCAGGCATGTCTAGCATTACAACAAGGTTCTAAAGAACAGTCCCAAAAGAGGAGAGAATAATTTACACAATGACCAGTATGTACACAGGTTCGGCAAGATGGCACAGCCATGTGTCCCGTTTCCCCCCCCCCCCTTTCCTGCATGTGTTACAAGTAAAAATGATGAACACCCACAAAATAATGAAGTGGTTTCGCCAACAGTCTTTCCTATAGTTCAACGTGCTTCTTGACCTGGTCTTCAGGCTCTAGCTCAACATCGCTGAGGTCAATGTCTTCAGGCTCTTCCATCTGAAAAACAAAAAAAACAAAGGTAAAATTATTGAGAACACAAAACGCTTTATCAAGTCTGCCACAGAAAGCACTGCTTTCAGTACGGTTCTGGTTTCAGTTCCCGATGTTTGAAATATGTGCACTGAATGTTTACGTGTCTAAGCAGTCGAAAAATTAAAACATTGGACATTACTCGAGCGTCAGAAACTAGGAATGTTGTAGAAAGTTCTCTGTGACTGCACCCGCTGTTAGAGAACCGAGTCAACTCGGACGTGCATGCCTGCACGTTAACTATAGCAGCTGGCCGACTGCAACGGCAGCTGCGACTCCAGAGATTTGTACGATTCAACTGTACCACTCTGAGTAGATTCACGGGAGGAGCGAGAAGTTAATTCGCTGACCTTGGATTAAGAAGCAAATGAAAAATATAGTGCAAGTAATCTGCAGCAGATGCAAATGCTGGAAGAGCTAGAACTTTTAGCAACTGCATGTACAGCACCTTCCTGCACACCTAGACAACGTGAAAACAAGATAATGCAGCTGCCAACTGCCAGAAGCGCGAAGCGAGATGCAATTCAACAAGCCTTTTCTCCGAAAGGCTGTTCTATATTGCAAGAAATATTTGTCTAGAAGATTATTGGGTGATTTTCTAAAGGTTCCGATGGCTACACGTTTTTCTCATTTAAGTACATGCGATTTGACCACGAACATTTGTACACTGCCATTCTCCACAAATTTGGAGTTGAGACCAACGCCTACTGTGCACATACCTTCGCATCCTTGCCATCCCAAGGCTCGACTTCGACCACCTCTGGAAGCTTGGCACCCTTTACAGGCACACTAGATCCTCGTCCCACAGCAACCTCGCGAAGGAATTCGTTGATGCCATCGTAGCTGAAGGAACCACGAAGAAGTGAGTACTTCATCTTGCGACTATTGAGCACAGCCAATGCCGGGTAGCCGAAGCCACCAATCTCCAGTGCCTCCTCGAGCTTGGGCTGAGCCAGGGCTTCGGACCAAAGCCATCCCCAGCGGTTGCGCTTGTACTTTTCCCCCAGGCGCTTGAGGATATCCAGGTAGCTCTGGCGACATTCGGATTGGCAGTCGTAGATGTGTGGCAGAACACTCACCACACACAACTGGCTGTCTTGGCATGCTTCCTTCAGCACAGACTCCTTTGTGACCTGCAGGCAAGGCAGGACAATGTGGGAGGAAAGTGAGCGCTATAGTTAAGTGACACAGACTAGAAATATAACATCAACGTTTTGCTACTTGTTCAGAGAAAACAGCATGGTAGTGTGTCTTTCAAAGCACAAAAGGAAAAAAAGAAACATAGCCCACGATGAAATGTTTCACAGCTTGGTTCCTCTGAGCAACGAAATTCAAAAGTTTTTTTTATTAACACTTGCATTAGAGAGAATAAATGCCAAAGGCCACCACATTTTCACGGTGGATTTACCGTAATTACTCGAATCTAACGCGCACCTTTTTTCCGGTTAAGCGAGTTCATAAATCGCATGCGCGTTAGAATCGAGTACGAACAAAAAAATTACGGTCAATCTATTGCCATCGGCAAATCCAAAATGGCCGCCCCCTACGTGCGTCGGCATGGCGCGTCGGCTATTTCTGCCTATGTGTTTCCCATGTGCGGCACTTCGTAAGTGTGCTGAGGAGTTCGTCATCTAGTAGTGCATTAGCATCGACGGCGTGGAAGGGCCGACTCCAAAAACTCGAGTGCACCACGATGCCGCTTTTAAAAGAAAAGTCATCGCGTGTGCAGAAACGGATGGAAATCGGGCCGCATCGCGGTCGTTCGGAGTTCCCGAAACGTGCGTGCGGGACCGGTGGAAACAAAAGTAGAAGATTGTCGACAGCAAAGCTTCACGCAAAGGCTTCAGTGGACCACAGCAGGGTCGGTTTCCGCAAATTAAAGAGCTGCTCGGCGAGTATGTGCTTGAGCAGCGAGCGGCACAGCGGCCCGCGACGACAGAACTGGTTCAAGTGCGGGCTATGCAATTAGTCTTAGAAAAAGGTCTAATGCGAAGCCAGTTTAAAGCGAGCAGGTGCTGGCTAACTAACTTTATGAAGATGAAAGGCTTTTCCCTCCGAAGGGGAACATGCACATGCGAAAAGTTTTGCGGAGGAGTACGATGAAAAGCTTCACAGTTTTCAGAGGTTCGTCCTAAACTTGCGGCGCAACAACGGCTACCTGCTTGGGCAAATCGGGAATGCCGATTAGACGCCTCTTTACTTCGACATGCCTGGCACCACAACCGTCGAAAAGAAAGGGGCGAAGCAAGTTTGCGTGCTGACATCGGGCCACGGTAAAAATAGAGTGACAGCAATGCTCCGTTGCACGTCAGATAGGCCCAAGCTTCCCCCGTACCTCATATTTAAACGGAAGACGCTCCCGAAAGGAGCCGTTTTTTCGAGTGGTGTGATCGTGCGGGCCAGCGAGAAAAATGGGTGCGCGTTGCAATCGATGTCTTACTTTTTTTTTTTTTTTCGCGGTGGAAATCGGGTGCGCGTTACAATCGAGGGCGCGGTAGAATCGAGTAAATACGTAGGTCATTTTATTTTACTCATCTTCGGATGCACAATCTGTGCTACTGTGTATCATGGCAGTAACCGCATCACCCATGCGTGCTTTCTCGCAGACAGCTCGTTGTCACTGGGTTGTCTGTCTGGGAGACAAGTTCTTACGAGCGAGGCAGGGCCACACAACGTCAGCATTGACTGTATCGACAGCAACAGCATTGCGCAGTTCGTCGGATTCAAGACCTTCCGCAATGAGAGCAACGCCTGTCTAATTTAAACACTTGCTTATGTTGTGGCATTTAGCTGCCACCAGAATGAGACAATAATGTCCATCGCACATCTTAAGTTACCCTTCAGAGGCTGCTGCTATTGTATATTCTACAGGAGACGTTTCTTCCATCACCGTTACAATGACACGTCAGTCGAGAGACTCATCTTTTGCCGTGGTATTGGCTACTAAGAATTTCAAGTTGACTGCAGTCAAACCTTAACATGTTATGGGCAGTGCAGTCATCCAGAATAAGCACAGCTAACTGGTGAACATTTCCTGCATCATCCATGCCTTTTTATTTGCCTTATATATAATACAGTAAAATCTCCTTAATTCAAACTCGATCATTTAGAAATCCTGCTCAATTCAAAGTATTTCTGCAGTCCCATATTTTGTAACGCAAGTTTGAGCGGATGATTCAAAGCGGCGATCAGCACCAGCCCGTTTAGATTGAAAATTTTTGGTGTGGTGTGTCAATCTCGATCCCGATTTCGCTGCAAAACTGCGGGAACGATAGCCCTTCAGAGCCACTAGGCAATGTACTGTAGCGATACTAATGAGTGGCAGCTGAAGTACGCCAATCTTTATACTTCCCGCTAAAAAAATAAACTTGTAAAAAAAACTGTCGCGTGATCAACTGAAATGTGCACCTGGGGAAAACAAGATGTGCCTCAGTGCAATACAGCAAGGACGTGCTGGCAGTATGTCGCATGCTTCTCGAAACGTCAGCGAGTCATTATTTACCTATTCTTTCTGGGAATATACAAAAAATAATAATTAAGGACAGTCTCCGAGGGCCGGCTGCTTTAGCAATTTTCGCACTTGTACTGCTGACTGAGTTCTTGCCTGCAATGCCTGCATATATGACCATGGCGAAAAGTAAACAGGGTCTTCAGAGAGTCGATCGACAAATCGTTGCACCTACATCTTCCCCATCTGTATTAAGCGAGTTTCATTGTGAATGTGTGAACAGTGCCACTCGATGTAGGATGCTGTCAGAGCCAGACATCATTCACAAGGGCCGCAGAGAAAGCCAGCTGCCCAGAAAACCTGGAACAGCCGGCTACTCATTCAGTCCTTCCTAGAATGGATTATGGTCTCATCATTCAGCCCGAACAGCATTTTTGAAACGTTACCCAGATAAATTTATCAATTACATTTGGAAGTTTCACGTGCAAGGACATATGTTTATAATGCACGCAGTAGAGGGAGTCTACACACTGCTTTTCCACACCTTTGCACGCTTTACTATCAAATGGTCTGCCTACACATTCAGTTCGACGAGAGAAATACCGATGGAAAAAAAAACTAAAGCATTATAACAGGTCTCACACAATAAAAGGTTACAACACAAGAGGTCTACACTACAGCAGCAGGATTTGAATGCGAGTATAAGAATGCAAGTTCAAGTAGTAAAATAAGTTTTAAAACTTGCTAAACTTAGCCCACATCATCATCATCAACCTGACTGCACCCACAACCGGGCAAAGGCCTCTCCCATGATCTGCCAATCAACCTGGTCTCATGCTTTCTACTGCCACGTTATACCTAACCTTTTAATCTCATTGGCCCATCCAACTTTCTATCTCCCTCTCACGCATTTGCCTTCATTAGGAATCCAGTCAGTTACCCTTAATAACCAGCAGTTATTCTACCTATGCACAACGTGCCCGGCTAATGTCCATTTCTTCTCGATTTCAACGATATCCTTAGCCCCGGTTTGTTCTCCGACCCACTTTGCTCTCTTCTTATATTTTAAGGTTACACCTATTTTCCTTCCCATCACTCGCAGCGTCGTCTGCAATTCAAGCTGAACCCTCTTTGTAATCCTCCAAGTTTATCGCATGACTTGCTCTTAAACTTGCAAATAAAATTTTAAAAAAGACAAGAAATGTGTGCTGTTAGTAGGCGTTTTTAACCTTGCAGTGTCTTCTTATATTTAAAGGTTACACCTATTATTTTCCTTCCCATCACTCGCAGCGTCGTCTGCAATTCAAGCTGAACCCTCTTTGCAATCCTCCAAGTTTATCGCATGACCTGCTCTTAAACTTGCAAATAAAATTTTAAAAACACAAGAAATGAGTACTGTTAGTAGATGTTTTAAACCTTATAGTGTGCTTGATGGCACCTCCAATATTAACTATTGCTTTCACAGCATAGTGGACGCACGCTGCAGTGAAGGAGGTTCCATGCAGTGAAATGCTTTGATTTATTTGTTTTAATGACTTCAAAATCACAGAAATTTTAAATTCATATAGAAGCAATTTCATAGACTTCATATTCATTCGAATATTAAAAGAGTGAATATTCACCCACACCTATTGATAACCTTCACCTAGACTGAAAGAAGCTATAAGGACCACAGATGAATTTGCGCCATCATTGTAATGCACATTTTCCACAGCATAAAAGGCTGGTGAACACCGGCAACTAGCAGCGGTCGCGCGACCATTTGCGACTGGCGACCAAAAAGCAACTGATGTTCCCACAGGCAGAGGTTGCATGCGAGCGACCGGAAGTCGCGATAGCGGAGAGTCACGTGCTGATCTCGTTATCAGTGAGAACTCTGGAGACCAGCGCCAATCAACTGATCGCCGCCAGCTCAGTGAGCGGAGCAAGCCGAGCACGCCGCATTTTGGTTTTTATCCGTTTTCGCCAGCGCAATGAGAAAACGAACAACAAAAATTGAGCATAGCCGATTGGTTCCAGCAGCTTTGCAACCGCAGGCGCCCAACTGAAAAATCAGCCAGGTCGCAAATGGTCGCGCGACCGCTGCTAGTGGCCGGTGTGCACCAGCCTTAAGAGTCTGTCCCAGTAGCCAGATTTTCTTCCAGTGCCGTGCGAGTGAAGCTCGGGATTAACGAAAAGAACCATGCAGAGTTTTGTAGGATGACAGGTAGCAATATCTGCACTGTCATTGTCTTACCTGGAGCAGCTCTGGTGGTGGCGCACTTTCGGCAGCCTTGTCCGAGGCCCACTGGACAATGTCATCAGCTGTGCGGCCACCATTGTACTCTTCTGCAGAGTGGCGATCCTTCTTGCCAGCTGGGAAAAACTTGATTGTCGGGTAACCCTTCACCTGTTTCAAGGAAAGATGAGTAGACACACCCATTACATATTATGCTACCAATCGTTTTCAAACTGGCTATTATCCCGAACTACCTAAATTTGGCGCACCATGATTTCGTTCAACGGGTGCGGCTGTATGTTGCAACAAACCGAGTTTAGGCAATCTGTTCGACCACAAGAACTGTACCCATCTGCGTAAAACTTACTGCCTCGTTTCACGGGGCTCAATTAATATGAAATAGTTTCTGCACATGGGCCATAGGATGAATGTGACCCTATGTAAACTCCAAATCCTCGCACATGTAAGTTTGTTGGTGTGCTCCTTCTTAGCGCCCCAATATAACTATGCACCAAATGTTAACACCCACCAATCAACAATGCTGTGGTTGGACTTATTGGTGTGCCAACACCAAAACCGCCGCAGGTAAAATAAAACGAGAACAAGGCCTCTGTGGGTCTTTTCTATGCTGCGAGTACCAGGCACCATGCCTCATCACATCTCTAATGATATTTCATTTAGGCATCACCACACTCGCACTGAGGCTGTAAACATTGCAACTCCCAAATCCTTGCACTTCTCAAAACAAGACATTATTACAATGCACTACAGCACCAGACATTACACATTAAGGGGACATTCATGAATACATTGCCTAAGGGAATGAAATTTTCACTGCATATATAAGCTTTTATGCTGATTTCAAAAATGTAATTAGTTTTATAACAACTTGCACAGTTTGCATTTTGTGCCATGACAATGTGAAAAGTATAGTTTATTTTGGGCAAACTTTTTATGCGCTAAGCCTTTTTCGTTTCGAGCCATTAATGGCTCAAATTGCTCCACTTTAACAGTAAAATGCAAATAAGTACCAAAAAAGTGCTTATAATACCCGTGCCACACGGGCATAGAAAATTACATTCGGTGCCGAAGGCCTTCAGTTCCCGAAAGACATTTTTTTCGGCGGCGCTGCTACACGTCCAAAGCGAATGACATTTGACTTGACGATATCGATCCCAGCACCTTCCAAGTGAGTATTGGGTGAGTAGCAATAAAAAAATAAACAAGCGTTTACAAGGTTCATACACATCAGATAATCATTAAATGTAGAAATAAGCATATTACGCTGCCCCGAGTTTTAGTTTCTTGCTTTGTTTTACGACGTTGCAGCCGACCGTAGCAACCTAAGCCAACAATAGTCAGATCCACAGTGTAAATAGAAAATGGCGCCTGTCGCATCGTACCTGTTGCATCTCTCAGAAGATGTTTGCAGAGTTCATTTTTTCACGGCAGCACTCGTGTGTTTCCGTGCAAAGCATCGTGCTCAAGAGCGAATAATTCTGGAGCAGAGACGAGTTATGCGCCAGCTTCAGGACATTAAACTTCAATTAATTTCAAACCATTTCAAACTAATCTTTGTATAACCTTCAAAGCACTTTTTTAAGAGTTTAGTGCAGATAAAAGACGGGAATTTTTATTTTTAGCTGAATATGATTTCTTTTATTTACGTTAAGGTAAATCGCACTTCGCGAGTTGTGTCGTCGAGAGTAGGCATTTCTCAGTCAACTGAGTTCTGGCGAAGGCATTTGGTGGCGAATGGCATTCAGACGAATGCCATTTCGTTCGCTTGTGTGGCACCGCGCGAATGGCAATAAATCTGAAGGCATTCGGGGGTAAATGCCATTTTCTCTGCCCGTGTGGCACGGGTATAAGACCATTTAATGGACAAAAAAAAATTGTAATGAGTGAATTCTCACAATTCTCAGCCCATATAATTGCTTACTTTAGGTTTGTAATAATTATACAGGAGATATCAAGTTTTAATGAGGATGCTTCCAGTCTTCACATGCTAAGGAATAAGTGGACTAAATTTAAACCTGACCGGGCTATTGTACCAGAAAGATGATGTCTAAACTCAAGACATCGCTTAAAAATGGATCTTCTGAAAAAACGCATTTTCAAGATACAGTCGCACCCCTTTATAAGAGAGACTAATACAAGAGGCAAATGAGTATAAGGCATTAATGTGCCTACATTAAAATACGAGTTGACAAGAATATGCATATGAGGTACCTTGCTTATAAGAGACATTTCATTTAAAAGATAAGAATTGCAGCCCGGTGCATACCTTTTGTAAAGGGGTTTAACTGTAATAAGTGAAAGCTCATCTATGCAGGAAAGATGTTTTTTTTTTTAAGATTATTTTTTCCCTCATAAGAGCTTGGCAATCGTGGTTATTTTGAGCATGTGGCGTCAGTGAACTCCTCATGCGAAATGCAACGGCAAAGCCAAGCGACAATTTCCAGGAGACAATGAGCTAAATCTTTAGTTTTAGTAGCCACCTTGTGTCCCTTAAAAGCGATTTTAACGTACTTCGAGTTTAATTACAATGTTTAATTTTTTTGTAGTGAAAGTAGAAAAACTAGCCTTGTGAAAGCAAATAAAAACAAAAATATGAAATTCTGATAAAAAAAACTTGCATTTTTGGACTTACATCTCCCCTTAAGCAGCCTAATCGAAAACTATGCAATGAATGCTATCACGGCGAGAACTGAACAGACACATCAGAGAGTGGACAGAGAAGTCGCCACAACCGCATTATACCAACCAGACGTGTACATGTGTGGAGACTGCCATTGAGCTTGGAATGCTGTCAGAGCCAGACATCATTCACAAGGACTGAAGAGCAAGCTAGCAGCCCAGAAAACCTGGAACAGTCAGCTACCCATTCACAGTCCTTCCTAGAATGGATTATGGTCTCATCACTCAGCACTAACAAAATCTTTCCAACATTACCCAGATTAACTTATTAATTATGTCCTACAGTTTCACATGGAAAACAAAGATATGTTTACGAAACATGCATTCATGAGGTATGAGAGATTACCGTATTTACACACGACTTGTGCACCCCTAATACTTTTCTGGTGTTATATATATATAAAAAAAGTTTACTCGCATGTTTTGCACTTTCTGTCCTGCTCTAGCCAGCTCGCCAGTGTGCGCACGATGAGACTTTGGACCTTTGAATGCTTAGCGAGGGCATGCCGGGCGTGCGCCTTGCCGAGCAGGCGAGGGCAGTCAAACAAGCTGCGAGTGAGAAATCCCTTCTTTCGAGGACTTCCCCTTAACTAGGGTCCCTATAATACCGCACCCAAACATCCAAACTTCTTGACGACTTGCTGGAACTATCTCCCGACATCTCTACCACTGTGAGAATGCATGCTTGTGCCACGGCACAGACAACTTTCTGCATCGGAGGAATGCGAGAGCCTGTCGCCCTGTTGCACCAACTGTTCCCCCTTTTCTCTGCGTCCGCGCTGCAACACAAGTTTGGTTTATTTCAGAAGGTTATGTTTCACCATCCGAGTCCGTCGCCTTTCTAGTGTTCTCATGCGATCGGCTACAATAATTATATATACGGTAAAACGACAACCGTGCTGCTGCTAATCACTTCAGGGTGCAGTTCTTCAACATTTGACAATTGGCGCGATCGGTACAGGAGAAAGCATACGAGTGCGCACTTGCTATGAAGTGTCCTGCTCTTGAATAAGACCTTTTCAGTTATGTGTGAATGCTTAGGTCTTCCGGTATCACCATTTCTAAATTGGCAAACAAAGTTGGCATAGACGGTAGCATGTCCTTAGCTAGACAAGCTTGGGACAATATGATTTACACAACACACCAGGTATTTTAGGAACAGTGGCATGACACTAGGAGAAAAAGAACAGCAGCACTCACGTCGTACTGGGAAGCAAGGCCCTGGTACACGGTGGCATCGACCGCACCCAGCTTAACCTTGCCTTTGAGCTCGGTGGCTGCCTTGGCCCAGTGCGGCGCAAGGTTCTTGCAGTGGCCGCACCAGGGGGCAAAGAACTCCACCAGCCACAGGTCATCGCTATTCAGCACCAGCTCCTCAAAGTTGCTGTCAGTCAGCTCAACCACATCACTCTGGAAAAAAAAAAAAAGGAGTTTACGAAGTGCCGCCAAAAGCCCGATGGCCGTGCCCCCGATATGGCTGAAGAAAAAGAAACGCCATTGTTTCCTTTAATAGCTTTCCTGCTGTGAACAGGCAAACTAAAATACACCGCACAAATCTCATGTTAGCTTTGAAGCCATCTTCCTCTAAAATATTTCTCGCCAATTTGAAATCACCGTTCCGGAAGCTTGGAAAACTGCTCATTTCTAGCATGCTGTCGTAAAATCGGTGTCCGAGCCCTCAGCATGCCAGATGTCGAACTCAACAAAATTGATCAGAAAATCATGGACTCTGCAAGTGCAGAAAAGCATTTGCTCCTCATCCAAACATTAGTAAACCCATTCCACAGCACAAACACAAGTGCTTGCTCGTATCACAATGGCTAGCCACTTTTATGCCCAAGAAAAGTAACATACGCGCTTTCATGCTAACATAGGTGTACCATTTTCCCCTCCCCTACCACCATAAAAAAAAAAAAAAAGTGCACTGTGCAATGACCGGGTCACGCTGAAATCTGTGCAGCAAGCAGATCGGCAGTCATGGTGTGCGCAGAGTGAGCGAAGCGCTGCACGCAACTGGCCATGCAGGAAACGATTTGGCTCTCTGCGACTGTACCGCGTTTTAAAAAAGAAAACTGCGTCAGTATATCCTTGGAAACAGACCGCGGAACAACTGTATCCCAGACAGCGGATTGTGTCCGTTCTGTCCACGCAAGAAGGAAAGTTGTTTCCTTTCTCCATAGTTCTGTCGCTGTATCACGCTGCATATCCCGAATCCCGTGGTGGTTTCGAAATGCTCATCAGCGTCTTCATCGCTTGCTATCGGGCTGTTCTTTGAGAGTCAGAAGCTTTTCTGTACCTTGACAAAAAGAAAGAAATGGCTTTGTGGTGGACACTTCAGGCAATATTTCCCATGGCGCTGTGTTTCTACTTTTGTTGGCGGCGATTGCACCTGTCAGGGGATGCAAACTTGTAGCTGGTGGTTAAGCATAGTACGTTTAGTGTGTAGTTATGCAGCCATCCCCGGCAGGTACGTATTAACAGGGTTTCACTGCAATTATGTTTACAAATATCAACTACAGTTAAACCTACTTATAACGAACCTCCATATAACAAATTCTTCATTATAACGAAGTTTTTCTATTCCCCGCCACTACACCATAGAAGCACATGCATTTGCGACCTCTATATAACAAAATAACAGCCGGAGACAACATTGATTTAATGAATTTTCGCCATGGCCAATCTAGAAATTTCGCCCCGGATTTCGTCATTTCGGCACGAGCATGCATCTTCAGTGGTTGTCCCACCGCGGACAAAGCGCAAAGCAGCGGCGGCACGCCCATGGCCCCGGCAACTGCCAGGCGAGGAACTGCTAGAAAACGCTGGTGTAAGCAAATACGGCTGCTCCAGAGAGAAGTGCTGTTTTCACACAGTCTCTTCGCGTTGGAAGTGCGCTGATGCTAGCCTAGATAGCACGCACGCCCTTAAAATCAAAGTTCCTTATTGCTACTCAGGCGACACCCCCCTTCCTCCGTGTATTTTCATGCTCGCTCAAAACGGGTGGTTTCCTTCCCGTTTGAGCGTTCGACGGCAATTCTAACACGTGAGGGGATGTTGTATGCGCCCTCCAGATGATAAAGACCGGCCGGTCTGCTTCACCAGCGCTCGGGCCCTTTTACCCGCTCGTAAAAGTTACGATGCACGGGGGCATTTTATCAATTTGAACTTGTTACCGAACATGGCGGCGACAGCAAAAACCCATCCAAAGTGTCCATATAACTAATATTGCAATATTAACAGAGTTCTTTTCCACAAAATAAGTGTTTTCAGTTCTACTTTTGTGTAATTTGTGGGTTTGTTTTTTCAAACTTTCATACTGAACCTGCATACTATAACAAAATCCTCTTAATAACAAATTTTCCCACCAATTTGTATATTTCGTTATTTCCAGGTTTAGCTGTAGTGACAAACGGTGCTGTCAGAGCCAGTGTTCATTCCTTAGGGCTGAAAGGGAGCCTCCCACCCCAGAAAACCTAGAAGTGAGAGGACCACCCACGCACAGCCCTTCCTAGAATGGATTAAGGGTCTCATCACACAGCAGCTTTGGAAGCCTCTAGATTCATTATGTACATTTGGCGGGTTGTGGAATGCTCATGCACTCTACACACCCTAAAATCTTACAATTTTTGACAATCTCAATTTTCTTTAACCTCTTGTGAACAATTGTGTTCACCACTTCTTGTTTTTCGTTGTGTCAACCTATGGCTTAAAAAGGCCCAAATATACATTAACCATGGATGGAATCCTCCTGCATAATGAATTATCATTTAGCGCTATTTCACAGCCTATCTTTAGATATATTCACATTGCCGAGTTGCTGCCATGCTCAACGAATAGTTCAACTTTCCACTTCCCAAGAGCCACAAAAGTACCACTTTTCTTAAAATGAACATGAACAAAAACGATTTCGCATTGTAGTTATTGCTTGAGATATGGTTCTATAATTGAAAAAAAAAAAAAAAGAAAGCACAGCATGAATGACTTGATGATAAACAGATATTTAGGTGCAATTTGTTGAACACTAATCCCTAAGACAGTCTTGAATAAACATACTACAACATTATTTTAGGTAAAATAAAATATCAAGTGCATTGAAGTAATGTGCAAGCTTGATACAATCACAGACAGTTCATTGGTGACATCATAAAGGTTTACATCAGTGAATGCTTAATTAAACAGAGAGAACCAAGTTAAGTTACATAAGTACCCTTGAAAGTAATGGATGAAAAATAAAGCCTCAGAAAATAGAGACTAGAAAGGACAAACCTTTCCGCTGCCGCTGTCACCAGAGGTTCGCTTTCCGAGCTTCTGGTCAACAAGCTTGCGAGCTTCTTGTAGGGCAGCTGACGCAACGCCATCAGCCGTGCGTGGCCCACTGTAGTCGGTCGGGCTGTGCTTGTTAGCACCGAATATTTTGACCGTGGGGAATCCCCGAACCCCGTACTGGCCTCCGAGAGACTTGTCCTTGTCGGCGTCCACAGCTCCAACCTTGACCACACCCTGGCAGCAAACGGTGGTAAATAAGTGCATTGGTCAAAACCACCCCTCTCCCATATCCACAAAGCAGTGTACGTACACCTTCATAACACAAAACCTTGCAAACACAGAAACTTAACATGCCCATGAGAGCTTCTCAAGCACATGAGTGTCCCGACAAAAATTGTGAGCCCACTTTCGACGTTTCCCCGAGCATTTCATCAATTAAAATGAACAGGCAATTTATGAAGAGCCTGCACTATCTACATGCCAGGCCTCGTGCACAAATTCAACATGCCAAGAACTTGTACAGATGGTTGCAGGTGGGTGCGCTATTACCCCTTGCCGAAGCCACAACCAGAACCAGGTGTACGATTGAACAATGTTAGGCTTGTGCGAACATTAAAGCGCTTCATATATTCCACCTCACTTTGATACGAATTGAAATTATTGGAATGTTCGTAGAGGAGATGAGCGAATAAGTGTATATTAATCCACACGAAACACTCCTGCAAAGGTGGTTTTACTGCAGTGGACCGATGCTGTACCGTGAATACACCTTTCCACGAGAAATCCACACAGCTGTGAAGAGCCATTTCACGGATAAACAAATATATTACTCTGACATGAATTCTCCCTTTTCTAAGTTAAAAAGTTTCTTATGCCAACTGATATACTTTAAGCAAAGCAAATTCTGAAATTTCGCATGTTCTACACTTTATCCTTTGTATTCTACCGAAAGTCACATCCTGCTACTATTCAAGTTGCTTCTACTTCCTTTGAAACAAAAAGAATGACATTTCCACGCGCCTTGTTTCAATTTATAACGAAAAAATACTGTACTGGTCAGTTGGGTCATGAGAAATATGGTCGTGTTTGTTTATATTTCACACACACACGCACGCACGTGCACACACGCACGCACACACGCACATCTGAGAACCCCACTAGGACACCACTTGAACGAAATTTTCGCTACAACAAAAAATTCACTTTTTCCCGCCAGCAGTCCATAGGAGTCAATGCATAAATATTGTCAACACAACGAACACTTTTTCTTCTGCCATCCCGCTTCAACAAAATTTCTCAATGCAATTCCCGGCTTAGATATTTATTGTTATACAGTAAACACGATCTAACATTTTCATGCATTTTCAGAACCTGAAAATACGTCGACTAAGTCTAAAACACATGCTTGCACCACCATAAACTACAGCTGTTCAGAAAGCATGGGCTCCGCCATTGGTCGAGAGAGATGACAATGAAACTGCCCCGCTTTTGCCACTGGCTTGCTTTTGAGCCGCAGACGATCCGAAGCTGAAGCTCAGTTAATTTTTTTTTTTTTTTTTCACGCAGCTGTGCAGAACAATGCCTTTTTCGATACCAGTGCATATCATTTCGTTTGCGCATGGTCATTGTGGTAACTAATCATATCGGCTGCTTATCCGCATTAACAACAAAATCAGCTAGCCCTGAGTGATGGATAAGACTGGCATAGAATAATGCAAAAGTCGCCGCTCCACGATACCCTGCCTCCATCTTAGCATCGTCCGATACACTTTGACGGCGGACAACTGCTGGTATTAACGTGTTAATGCAACTGTTTGGTTCGTTCACAACGCGGTTGTAGGCGTTGTTTCAGCCTGCTTTTTACCATGGCCTCGCTATGCATGGGTAAGAATCGCATCGTGACCCTGCTGGGAAAGAATAGGAAGCAGTGGACACTTTCTGAATTTTGAAAATAAACGTTCCTTTGTTTTGCTAGCTAAGATCAGCTATATTTTTTCAATTTCACTACAACGAAATTTTTTTCACGCCTTGTCACTTTCCTTGTAGTGGGGTTCGTCTGTGTATGTGTGCATACACACAAATTGTATTTCAGATCTCTTTCTCAAAAATATTGTTTGTCAACAAATGAAATGTCATAGGTAGACAATGCTAATGTTTAATGGTGTGTTCCCTTGATAGCCAAATCTTATAGAGCAAAAAGAGTGAATTAACCAAACTTATGCGATGATCCAGTTCAAATTTAGCAGTTTTCAAGAACATTGAAGATAGAACAGACCAACACCAAAATAAATGTCCGAATTTTGCAAAAGTTTGAATTAGCAGAGTTTGAATTAGCAAGAGTCTGCGGGCATTCTTCGGCAATGCTGTCAGAGCCAGAATTCATTCCCTAGAGCTGTAAAGGAAGCGCGTTGCCTCAGAAAACCTGAAGCGGATGTCCCCCTAGACACAGCCCTTCCTAGAATGGATTAAAGGTCTCATCACCCAGCTTTACTGCCTTCGGAGTTTACGGCGCATGTTTTCATACGCGAGACTGCACATGTATTATAACAACGCAGCTAGGAGGCCAGGTTACGACAAACAAAGAGTTGCACAGAGCATAAAGAAAATTGCGACGCGAACATGACAAAAGTAATTCCCCTGACACGTCATTACCAAATTACTCAGTGCGCACAAAACGAACACAAGCAGCTATTTAAAGAAATGACTAACTATCGCTTTGAAAGGGAAAAAAAACTGTAACGGACAATCTTCTGTTGCACATACCTTAAGTGCAGAGGCTGCCTTGGCATATTCCGAAGCGAAAGACTGGCAGTGGCCACACCTAGAAAACAAGAATAAGTGAAGTTTAGGAAGAATAACCAACTATGCAAATTGAACTCTTGTTCAAGTATACAGTTATGTTTGCCACACTGCCATTAGCGCCTATGTCAATGTTCATAACGTTGCACACAAGTTTCTTTAACAAATGGCTCAGGTTGAGCGCACATGGCCTAGTGCATTCTTCACTTTCTCTGGATACCTTCAACTGAGAACACGATAACACAAATTTCACCAGCGGAGCTCACAGGCTTATAAGGAAGTTTTAGTGCTGGGTACCCAAGCAGCTTGCGTACCCAGGACCTTGGGGCGGCGGTATTGCGCATGCGCGAAACCGCAAACAGACGCGTCGCAAGATTGCTGGGGCCATGCGTCCACGCGGCCATAAACAACGCTGCCACCACTGGCCTCCTAGCAGAGATAAGCTGCCCCGACGCACATGCTGGCGCATCATGTTACCTTCACGGCGAGCAAAGCCGAGGCTGGCCAGAGCCACCACTTTGACTTTTAAGTTTTAAGCGCAAATATTGTAGTGGCTAGCCACTATACAAATAGCATGGCGCAAAGGCGCGAAATTTCGGACAGCATGGATCGGCCGCCTTGTAAGGTCCACCTTCGCAGGAACTTGCGGTATCCGCACTGCGGATACTCTAGCCGTCGAGTTAAAATAAGACAAAGTGCGAGCACTTATAGCGATTACACGGTTTCAGCCTGTGATTTCAGCCAGATTACCAAAGCTAGAATGGCCTGGAACATAGAAACTAAAAATATGCCAGCCCCCGACCAGCTGAATAGGTGGCTCCAGCTAGCGCAGCCATAGTAAAACAAACAACTACAACATTGTTATTGCAGAAACATTGTGCATTGTACATCTGGTGCAAAAGCTGCGCAGCGACAATATTACAAATAAGTAACCTTTTTATTCATTTTCACCTCAAAAACCTTACGCGTAAGCTAACATGTTCATGACTGTGGTTGCACGAAGTGTCACAAGGTGTCGACACTGTCGTTACAGTAACCTAATTTTTTTGTGTATACCAGGATACTGTACACGATAAAAAAAAGTGTCCTGATCACTATGCGTGTTTAATTTAACATTTTAAATCATGAAAATAAATAATACTTACGCGACAAGACGCTATGGCGCTGCGAGCGCGTGTGACCTTCGTGCGGTTTGGGTTAGCGTGCGCGCCTCTATAAGGCATTCCAGTTGGATATGGGTTGGGTACGCAACGCCGCGTGCCCCCAAGCCCACAGCGCCCCAAGAGCTTGGGTACCCAGCACTAAAACTCTCTATTGAGGGGAAAAAAAACTATTTCGCTTCCATACCCCAGGCTTATTAATAAATCAAAAAAGCTTCAGAAATACAGCCATCGCCAATCTTCTTTTTTTCCTTGACAGCCCTTGTATTACGAGTTATCAGACAACATAAAATATAGAAATTTTCAAGATAGCCTGTGGCGGGGTTGCTCAAACAAAAAAGCATTACTCGTAGAATTGATTAAAATGAATCTAATTGAAATATAATTGAATTTTAAAGGAGTACCAATAGGATTCTAAATAGCTGAAAGAGGGACATTTTTCGTTTCCTTAATAAACAGTGTCAACACCTTCCACACGCCACAGTCTGTCAACAAATATAAGATATTTTCTAGGACATTATAATGTTTTCATCGCTGAGAATCAGCAAGCCAGCCACGCCACAATAAACATCATTTCGACAAGTCAACTCAGTCCCACAGAGTCTGTGAACTCTGCGTCCTGCATGCAGCCTGAATCGCAGAAATCGCAGAAACCGCTGTTGGGGCACCCTAGAGACAGTGTACTCATCATTGTTTATGTGTACCACGAGCAGATGCCCAATGTGCCGCTAATGCGTTGCGAATCGCTCTCTTCGCATGACGTCACATCGCCATGGCACGTCAAAGAGAAGCCACCCCCTCGATAAACAAACCGAAAGAGACTCTTTAAAGTACCGTATTTACTCGCATAATCCTCGCACTCGCATAATTCTCGCACCCCCCACATCGCCCAAGAAAAATACGGAAAAACTTTTTCCTCGAGTAATTATCGCACCCCCGAAAACTGTCGCAATAATGTCGTCTGCTCGTTCTAGCCACTGATGATGATAGCATGCAGCATTTGGCGCCATCTCTTAAGCATCAAGCGTACTACTGCACAGAAATTCAATCCAATCCAAGCCAAGCCGAAGTGGCCAGTGCGCGTTGCGGCGTGTTTTGTATGTTGTGTCGGTTATCTTGGCACGTTATGGGGCGATACTGAAGCCACACGGCTGCTTCAAGTTGCCAGTGATAGATCATGCGCTAAACAACGACAACAAGGCTGCCGGTAGGCCCTTCGGAGCCTACGAGTTTTGTGTTCGCTACTGGTGACGGCAGCTGAAAGCCACCAAGACGCGTTCGGCCTGCCATGTGCCAAAAACTGGGATTGATGAAACTTTATTTCTTCAGAAGGAAACTGCGGACGATTGTGTTAAATAGCCATCAGCCCAATACTGACGCCCTACGCTTACCTTTTCAGGGCTCCTGTTGAGCGCCGACCGCTACCGCTACGCCCGCACCGCCGACAAGCTTGGCGTATGGTATTCCAATTCTCGACTATTTGCTTCCACTTTTTGTGTCTCAAATAAATCTTGCCTTCTGTTGAACCTCTGCTTTTATTGTTGAGGTAAGTTCTAATTAGTACTTTGTAAAGCTTGCTGTAAGTTGCTGGTGTGAGAATCCCGATTTGCGGCCACTTCGTTTTTTTTTTTTTTTTTTTTTTTCCGCTCTCCGAGTTTTCGTGGAAAGTTTTCCCCGCGTAATTCTCGCACCCCCCAACTTTGCATCATGTTTCCGGCAAAAAAAGTGCGAGGATTATGCGAGTAAATACGGTAGTGGTATTAAATATATGCGCGATGCATTCCCCGGCGCTCTAGTACTCTTATAGGGTTCTGGAAACTCATGTTCTTATTTAGAGCAACAATCATATGTAAAATCCATGTCGGTGCTCCTTTAATGTAAGTTCTTCATGGAACATTACAGAATTTATTAATTGCAGCCAGCAAGCCCAAAATAAAGCGGTAACTCCATGTACGCACGGGTTGCTTACACTATGGAAAAGTTTTTATGCAACGAAAAAATTCTAAGCTGGAATCGTTCTTTACTTGTGCCATAAAAACAGCTGTTCATATCGTTGCGTGAAACTGCGTGTCACTTGTTTTCAGCACAGAATAAAAAGAAAGACGCTGTATTTGAACATAATATGCTTGTTACAGGCGAATATAGCATTATATAACAATGTAACATTAAAAAATTATAAACTGCTAACTCAAGCCAGATGGCACAACTGCAGACAACAAAATAGTCTGAGCTGATCCTCAGTTAGAGGCTTGTCCTTGGATTGGACGGTATCTTGGTATATGCATCGTCCTTTCATTAAGACAAAAAAAAAAAAAGATTGAAGAGCCATAAAAGCCCAAGGGCAGTCAACTAGCAATTCAGGGACAAGAATTAAGGCCTTTTTAGGAGCAAGAAATTTTTGACAAAAGCCTTGAAAGGAAGCTAAAGGGCACAAGTGACATGATTGATGTTGCCTTACAGCCTACCTAATATATTGAAGAGTGGACCAAAGTTTGACCAGCAAAAGCTACTTTTGGAATTTACATAGCTTACAATAGATACAACGCTGTTGGAAAAAAAATATTGTCAATCAGCAAACATTACCAGTGCAGGAAACCACAAAAGGGTGTTATTACTGCCCCAGCAGCGGCAAAAAGAGTGTTTACCATTTTCTTGGATAAATAAGAACAGCTGTGCACATTCTTGGGCTTCTAAATGCAAACCTAACAGCCCTGCCAACTTTTTCCAGATCACTTTTATGGACTGAAAATTAGGTACATTAAATAATTTAAGCATTGTCCAAAGGCATTTTTTTTGCAGTACTATGGCGTAGTAGCATCTATTTGCAGTTATCTTACAAGGACAGCTTAATTAAAAATGTAAGGAATCGCAACAGAGTCTACCTGTAGCACAATTCAATTGCAAATCAAGTGGAAGCACTATAGGTATAAACTCACACTACAAGTATTGATGAGTGCTTGGGAATTTTCACCCAGATGACTGGAGATCCAGGTGTGTAGCCAGAAAAATTTGGGGGGGAGGGGCCTTAAAATGGTTATTTTTCGGTCTTTATGCCATGGCAAAAAAACAAAAAACATCAGGGAGGTTGGGGGCAAGTGCTCGGTGTGTCGCCCCCTGGCTACGCCCCTGCGGAGATCTGAAGGACTGCCTAAATATAGTCTAAGAGCTTCATTTTACGCAATTCACCAATAAAAATATGCAGAATGACAATGCTTGTAAACTTCACAATCATGAATAAGAACAGAGAAAACAACACATCACTTCGAATTGACAAGAACATTCTTCAGAGATTATTTTTATGGTAACAGGCTGTCTGTTAAAAGAACATGGGCTGAAGAACCATTCTCTACATTCTAAGCACGAGCCGGTATCCTAGGCATCTGTGGACAAATTTAGTATGGATAGTTTTTTTAAAGCTTGCAGAGTTTAAAATAAGCCTTTTTTTTTTAGAATATGTATATAACGTCATTTGTAATTACTGGCAAACAATTCCTTAAACCCAAGAAACTGGCAAGAAAACCGATAGCCAAAGGCACTTATTCTGTAAATCTTTCCAGGATTTTACTGTGCTCTCACAATTGGGGAATCTTTCTTGATATGTTACAGAGACAATTTACTAAAACAGCTAAAGTTTATTTTGGTGTCTCTTAAACCTGTACGAAAGTCTGAAACCAAAGCTAAACCTCACCAGGGAGCGTAAAACTCCACAACCCAGATCTCGTCACTGTCTATGACCCTGTTCTTGAAGTTTGCCGGGGAAAGATCCACAACCTCCGTGTGGGGCCCATACATACCCAGGGCCACAGAACAGAGGGCTGGCAGCACGGCAAGGAGTGCTAGGATACAAGAAAAAGCGAAGGCAAATTATAACACAGAAGACTGCCAATAACAATGTTCAAGAAACATGATACAATTAAATAAAATTTACCAACAGAATAGGTGCTCCAAGACAAATGCATTTAAAGCTGCCTTAACTGATATTCCTCCTCCTTTGACTGCATCTTCAATGATAAGTCAAGAAATACCAAATAATGTCCATTTAGAAAGGAGGTCAAAGGCGTGATGTGTATTAGCCGATTATGCCTTCACAGTAAAGGTAACCTTTAAAGTAAAATACATTACTGCTATCACTTTTGCCAGTGAAATATACTATCTAGTGTGCAAGACACTAAAGTATAGAAAGCAGTGATAAGATTGTTGCTGGAAATACCATTTTTTGGGTGAAATGGGAGACCGAACACTGACATTCCTGGCAGCCTCCAGACATTTCATATAGAGAACCACAAGCTTACTTTTATGCAGTTTATTATTGTTTTCATTTACATGTGCACTTTGTTTAGCTCTGAATTTTAAAAAGGATATGTAATCAGCTGCAAGACAAGCTGTGTTCCCACTCGCATACTGTTGACTTATACACTTGAAATCGCATGGATTAAGGTACGATTTTAAGATTTAATTCAGTTATTTCTTTTACACCTTCATTGATACTATAGGTGCTGCTCAAATAAATTTCATTGCAGCTTAGAAACCCAAGTGTTGAACTATATGTCACTCATGCAATACAAGCAATCTATCTTGCAATGCGAGCAAGCCACGTCATAGTACCTGCACAATGCCATTTACATCCGGATGGCAATGCCTTAACAATTCAAACAGCAGCTGCAGCGAAGGCACCAGCTTTAAAGTGTGACTGAACAGGAGACACCTGGGAGTAGCCAATTCATCTTGAGAAATTTGAAGATCTTTCTAACAGCTTGTGCAAACTTCTGCAAGCTGCTGGGCCTGCATGCCATCTAGATGAGTTACATACTAATGCTAGTAATAGTTAATAATTTAGCACTGCAATCACTGAAGTACTTAACCAGCACGTCCTCTATAGAGGCAGCGGTGCTGACTGAATAGAAAAATGAGTAGTTTCCATAATTAGCTCATTTACATAACCTCATTGTGATGTAGGCTAGATTCGCAAGGCTTCTTGAAGGTGGAAACATTAATGTATTCCCATAATTTTCGTCAATTACGTGACCTATGACGTGTCTGTGCATCTCCCGTATCTCCCGTACTCTGCATTGTGAACTGCGTAAATTTTAACTACGCCAACTTTTCAAGGGGCAACGTACGATAGCTACACGTAGCACTGGGCGTGACGCTTGACACATCGCAACTTGAAAAAGCGGTCAGATCACATGGCGCACTCCGTTTCAAGAGTGAAGTACTCTCTCCTCTAGGCAGAAATAACAATCCGAACAGTTTGTAGCATAGATACGTAGACCTATAGGCACCTCGTTCATTCAACGAATGCCCTTATATGGAAAGTTACGGCTAGCGAACACCTGCTTCGAGTCGCACTAAATGATAACGAAAACGGTCGTCACATTCTGGCTGTGATCGGTGTCATGTCAAATTCCTTTGAGGTAGTGCTTTCGACAACCGAACGGTTTAAAGCAACAAGCGTGAGAGCGCTGACACAATGGCTCGAGCGACAACCGCGGTGCAAACGAAGACCACGTTGCGTAGGCGCTTGGAGGTCAGAAATTAACCGGACTTAAGGACGATTTAAGAGCACGTTCTATACATCGTGACTAAGCTAGAATCGGAATATCGGATATGCGGAAAAGTGCTACGATGCCGACCACGCCACGGTAGCGATGGCAGCTGTGATGACGGCCCCGGCGCCGGCTTTGTTCGTAACGAGATACGGCAGTCAAATGGTCTGGAAAAAAAAAAAATGCCTTACCTATCGCCATGGTGACCTCGTGAAATAAGTTACTACGTAGTTAGGCTTCGAAGAAATATATTAGCTTAGACTCGACGGCTAAAATCACGAAGAGCCACGCATTTGGAGCGGCCTTGTTTAAAACCACACAGGGTCTCGTGGCTGATGGTGATTGGCTGATCGACAACCTACACGCTGACAAAGCCGTAGGACGATACATCAATGTACGAAATTACGAACAAGGCCTGCTTATTAATATAATAACAACATTGCCTTATTTTAAATAGATTTCACGCAAGCTTTATTATTGACCTTATCATCATATTACATCTATTGCTTCTCGAGTGTGTTCTAAAAATGTCAAAAGATGGCAGCACAAGACACAATTCATCCAAGTCGTAGAACGTAGCGTAAGAACTGATTGGCGCGAATTTTGATCAATTCAAGAGTCCCTGTTCAAGCATTCTCGATGTAAACCGAGTACGAGATGAAAACTGTGCGTTGTGCTTTCCTGCTAGACCGTCGTCTTAACCAAAAATGGTCAGCTAAAAACTTTGGACGATTGATAAGAGGATTATCAGTGCTCTGATGCAAGGAGTCGGCGCGAAGTCGAAATCACGCGTCAGCGAGCTGTTCAGGCAATATATTGTTCTCCTTTGCCTTCATTTTATTTTGTTTTGTCTACCGCTACAGCAGCCGGGAACATCATTTTGAAGTGTATGTGTCACGCAGAGATAATCACATAAGTATATTGCCTGTCTGTCCTGCCTTTCGCAAACTGACATTCGCTTCATCATACGCACAGTGCAGCATGATGTCAGCCAACGTTACAACAAAATGTCAGCTAACGTAATCATTTGAAAGAAGGCCTTGATTTCTTACATTAGATTTCTAGCGTCCAAACACTTATAATCTCCAGAATAACTGACAAATCTGGACGCCGCTTCGAAAGTATAAAGTTTGGGGCGCTGTTACCTCGAAGTTCAACTCTACTACAGCCACGCTCGAGCTAAGCTCAAGGGAAATTTCAACAACGCTACAGCTAAGTTTAAGATAAGTTCGAGCCAAAGCTCAACATCGCTAAAGCCACCTTCAAGCCAAGCAAAGCAAAATTTCAATGAAGGGTTCTGCTCCCACACACAGCAATAATTAAGCATGAGAACGATCAGCTTCACTGTGGGTAGAGCATAGCGTGTCTACAGCGCAAGATTTGAGCCCCCCCCCTCTTTTTTTTTTTTTATTAACGCGACCGTGTTAGAGAGCATGTTTCGCAGAAATTCCACTGTCGGTGTTGGCTTCTGCGTCGTTGGATAATTGTGAGTGAAAAATCATTCTGCATGACCAAAGGATTGAGAACGATGCAAATGAAATTTTAAAAAATAAAAAAATATTGGTACGAGAGAGAATCGAACCCGTGTCATATGCGTGGCAAGTAGCTTGACGGGTTGCCTTGCAGGTGCATAATTAGGAAAAGGGAGAATTGTGGCATAGTGGACACCTTACAACTGTACTTACCGCATCGGCATTCTAGGATAGCCTGAAACGGGCAATGTAATACGCGCACGGTCACTCGTTTCCTTCGGGCGTGGTTGAAGATTGCACCGACAACCTAAGCATGGGTTATTTTGCGTCTCTCATAATCATATGGTGGTTTTGGGACGTTAAACACCACAAATCAATCAACCTAAGCATGATGCACGGAGCCCTATTTCTTGAAGACGAAGCCCAAGCGTTCTTCAAGTTTGGCTCAAGTGGTTCAATGCGTTTTCAAGGGCGCCGCACTTATAAATGACGTATTGTGCACCCCCATGTAATACTCACACGGGTTTTCAGGGGATGCTAACTAGTAAAAAAATCCGTGATAGTTAGTTTTGCCGTTCAAAGACTGCATACATGCATCATTGCAAAAATGACTGGAAAGGCAGTGAATTTCTACGTTTAGCTTGAAGGCGCATATATATCTATAGAAATTCGTGCCAACCTTAGGCGTCATTCCAGGTGAATCATGTATGCCTTGTAATTCCATAGGTTACTATTCGTCTCCTGTCATGCGTGTCGAAAAGCAATTACATTTAAAAGTTAATTGACTAACTCATTCACTCAGTTCACCAACGAAGATTTTTTCCTTAATTTCCCTTGTCAACCTTGTTTAAAGAAGAATTCAAAATTCTTACCCGAGACACCTCGTGCGTGCATTCGTATTTTGTTGCGCAAGAGGTTACTTCCTTAACTTCTTGTTCGTTTGTTTGTTTGTTTATCTTTACGCCCCTTTTGTATTGTGTTTACTTAGTATTCTTTTCCAGTGAAGATATCACATAATTTGCTTAAGTATGAGAAGCACTGTTGTTGGGCAGTACTAGGGGCGTAGGCAGAAATTTTTCTCAGAGGAGGTGGGGGGGGGGGGGGTTAAATAGATGCATGCAGTCGTGTGCTATTTCGCGCACCGGACGCGTTATTCGAAGGTCGCACGTTGGGTCCCTGCCGGCGGAACGTTATTTTTTCGTCCACTTTTCATTCTTCACTATTACAGTGTAATTACTTCTGATAGCATACCCTTTACCTTCCTTGGCATGATCCTATGTTCTCGTGAAATTTGTGCCATGTATGCCATGGTGAACAAGAATTACGCAGGAGGCCCGATCCCGGTGTCCCTTTGTATAATGCCGGAAGATAATAGTATTTACCACCCTCCACTGACAGCATGTGCTCGAGACAGGATGAAAGAAGCAAGCTTATTTTACATCGGCGATTGTACAAGCACACGCGTACGTTTTCAAGTTTAAATCCATCGCAGCTTACTTCACCTAATTTAACCGCAAAGAAGGATGAAATTGTCGCAAGGGTTCAGTAAAAACCGGTAGCCGGGTGAGTTAGTCATACTTCAAGGTATTAACTGGTGTGCTCAAATAAACACGACTGTGGCACAGAAAGAATCAACAAGGCCGGGCATTTCGCTGGTCATTCTTTGTGTGTCCCAGTCGTGTTCATTAGTGCACACCAGTTTTATCGCGAGATTGAAGATGATAACAACAACAACAAAAAGAAACGTGCTGTTCTTTTTCTCCCTTTCTCAACGAGTACAGCTTCCGTGTTAATTTCCTTGGCTATAAGCACTCTAATGGGTATACGTTCACTCGTTCTTTTCTTATCACCGTAAACTTTTCTGTTCAAATTAGTCACCTTTCTTTTTCACCGTTACGGGTTTCGATTCTCCTCTTTACTATACTTACCTTAAACATCCTTCATCGCTTTTATACTTACCTGGTCTCTCTCTCTCTTTCATTCCTGCTTTGTGTTAGTGAAGCAGTGAGGTTGATGCCCCAATATTCATGTGCTTATCACGTCATTTATGTATCCGCAAACTTACTTTCTCCACACGATCGTTCCACCATCTTCGTCACCGACTCTTTCGCAAAGTCGCGGGAAATTCCTCACCTGCGATCGCTCGAGGGTGCACAGTCTGGTGGTTCCCTGCTCACTCGCCGCCTCCACTCGAGTGTAAACCGTCCTCACCGGAGACAAATTGAGAACGCATACCGCGAAACCACCTCGCATTGCAAATCCCACCGTAAGATCTATCCAGAGGCAACTAAACAACCGAACAAAAGAGAGGCAATTCTGTGGCTAAAATGGCGTATACCGGGGCGTTTCCAAACCCTCACTTGTACAGGACAGTATTCATTACCAGATCTGCGCACTGTAATAGCACTGTAGGTTCAGTGCACAACACGTGGTCTGGACCTTCCTTTTCTATATACAACGGTCCAGGCAGAAACGTAAAATGCTGGGAGGCCTTATTACGCATTCACGACGCCGAATACTATAGCGTGATGTCGTCGGTCTCGCCCGTACCACCACCTAGTTACAAGGGATTCCAACCGACGACTATGGGGGATGAACGGGAGCAGAGGTCAAAAGCCTCCATCCCCGTCATTCTCGACGGGTGCAAATAAACGTTATTTTCATTTCGCGCGCGCAGCACTAATTTGGCGGCTCACGCTTCTAAAGTAATCTTAGATGCGCGCATAACCTTAGATGCATTGGTTGCCGTAAAATCATTAAGTTTCTGCACCCTACGCTAATGTGCTCTTGGTGGCGAGATTCAGAGAAGATTTCTCCGACATATATCTATGTAGGGGGCTTTGCGGAAAGGCGCCGAGAAAATAAAAGTCCCTACGGAAACATTCCGCAAGCCATTCTCACAATTCCATGTTTTCTTACGGAATACACACCAAGTTCATATAATGAAAGACATAGAAAGAAACGAATATAAAAAGAGATTAAAAACAAATAGTGGGGCAGAAATAAATAAATAGAAAGAAGTAGGAACGGATAAAAAAATATGGTAGCTTAGCATTAGTTGTGCGAAGCCTGAAAGAACGGCGCAGCTGGTGGCCTTTCCTATTTGCCTTTATCTTTCTTTCTCTCTGTTTCTCGTATGTTTTCACTATTTAGTTTCTAAACATTTGTGTTACTTTCTTTATCTCTGTGTTTTTTTTTCTCTCAATCTTTCTAGCTATATTTTTCTTTTATCCGTTTGTTTCTCTCTCTCTGCTTCTTTATCGATCTTGTTTTCTGTATGTGTTGCTCTGTTTTTTTTTTCTATCATTTTTTCGCCTCTATTTCCTTTTATCTCTTTCCCTGTCTTGCTGCCTCTCATTCTGTGTCTTTCTCTGTTTTTGTTTTCTCTGTCCTTGTCTCTTGCTATTTCTCTTTCTCGTTCGGTCTTACAATGCTGTCCATTGTTTCAATCTTTTTCGTGTCTGTTTATTTTGTTCCCTCTCTCTCTGTCTTTCGCGGCCGTCAGATCGTCTAATATCTTTATTCCATTTGTTCACCTCTCTTTTCTGTTTCTGTCTCTTTCTCTTTTCTTTTTATGTAATTCTTAAAGAGAAAAGAAGAGAAAAGTGAGCCCCGTAACTGTCTGCATCAGAGTGCGACACCTCAACAGTAGGCCACGAGAGATGGGGGTAAGGAGGAATTAAAAGGATAGGATTAAATGCATATAGATGGAGAGGGGGAAGGAGAGAGCGTGGCGCAGGGACAGCGATGAACAGAAGTAAGGAGAAGATAGGAAAGATGGACACGGTCGCAGTAGTCCGAGGACAGGGCACCACTCAGCGAGAGCTCTTGTCGGCGGCAGGAGATGGCGTAGGGGGAGCCCTGTCGGCCAGAGCTGCGCTGTCGTCGGAGATCGCGGGGGACACAACCGGTCGGCACGGAATTCATAGAGCGAGTCCCTCATTCGCGTGTTTCACGTGCTCCCCTTCACCGAGCAGAGTTTTCGCTTAACGCTCGCAGCTGCTGTACTCTGTAGATAAGGGCTTGTTCGATTCCTGTGGCGCATAACCGCGCCTTGTTTAAACTGTACGGATTAGGCTTGTATTGCAAGAAAATAGAACTGTGTAGTTGCGAAGGCCTTGCGAATGCATGCTATTGAGAATTCGCATCCAGAACAGGTTCATATATATCCGCATAACTGTGTTTTTTTAAATTGCTTTGGCTCGCGGGCTGATAACGCTTCGATTGATATGTTGACTGATACGTGGCGTGTAACGTTCAAAGAACGCCATATGACTATGAGAGACGCCGTAGTGGAGGGCTCCGGGAATTTCGACCACCTGGAATTCTTTACCGCGCACTCGGCTGTTAGCACAGGCTTCTTGTAGCTTAATTGAGCCCCATAATATCACTTGCTGCGTGGCGTGTGACTTCTGCAGATCGTATGTAGTACGTGTGCTTTGTATGAAGCACCTAAGACAGTGATCGAATACGTCACGAAATTAGCGTGCGAAATTATAGATGTCTCCGCAAAGTTGCCTCTTAAAATGTCGACTTTACAACGCTATCGTTAATGATCTTGAACAGAATGATACTTACGTGTAAAACGTTATCCTTGAACAGTCGGCGTTGATTTAATTCGCACGTGCTTCGCGCGAACATCCGCAGTTGCGTGAAGAAACAGCACGTGGCTTTCGTACAAGGCGTCAACGTAGCCATGAAGACAACACGAGCACAAAACCATGTACAAAAAAAATTTTATTCGGCGCTCTTTATTAACCTTTTATGAGCTTTGTAGGAAAATCTATTTACATGTCGGTGAATAAAAAAAGAGCGCGAGAAATATAACAAACACTTGTGCACATATTCAAACCAACAAGACGGACTCGTCGTGACAGCGTTCACAGAAGGTGTGGCCCTTTTGGCGGATACTTGTATTTTCCAGAACCTTAGAAATGTTCAGTGAACATCAAGACAAATAAAACACAAAAAACAAGGATTCATTCGCGCCGCACCACGAAGCTGAATTTCGCCATGCTCAAAAACAAAACTCATCCAAGTCTCTCGAATTTCAGACCCCGGTCTTCGCCGTTATAAAGACATTCATTCATATCTGTTGCTCAAAATACAACTTTTTTCTTCGTTTGTCGCCTAGTTTATCTCTCGCGAAACAACAAATTGCATGCCGTAGTAACCCCATACGCATGTAGATGCAGGATTTTTTAATCGTTGTTACTCGTTAAATACATGGTTTGTGTCGTGAATGAGCAACACGTACGTTATACCGTAACGAAGCTGCGGCTCTATACAATTGCTTTCATTGAGCATAACATTGATAGATGATCAATAGTCTGTATAAAATTTTTTTTTGAAGGGTCCCTTCAGACACTCAAGGTTATTTTGTAATGCACAAATTAAACGCATGTATCGCCATCCGTGCATGCAGTGTCTTTAAAGAGAATGGCATCCTGAAGGATACGTTTTGCTATTGCACATTTATTGCGGGGTATTGGCTTTTTCTATTTTCTAACACCTAAATATATTTCAGAACGCACTACTTCCTTCAGATGAAACATCCAGCTGTAAAGTTTCTTATACAAACTCTAAGCACACATCAGTTTCTTATACAAACTATAAGCACACATCGCTGCTCTGTGAGTACTAAACTTCCCACTAGTTTATCAAAAGTTAAACTGTTTAGCACCACTTTTCCGTGCATTTATCGTGCCCACTTGTCTAGCTTCCGTAATGCTTCACGAGGAAAGCACGCAGATATGTTCGTGTGAATTGTCACTGCTTCTGACATAGAGAGCCTTCATGTGAGCCTTCATGTACGCGCCGAGGCAGCGCACACATGAAGGCTCTTTATTCTGGGCAGTCTCTTACTGAACATCTCCGACCTCAACTTGAGACAATGTAATCCTACTATCTACAGCACTATATATATGTACATGACTACAACATGCTTTACGCGAATATGCTAAAACAGAGATGCATTCTTCTAAATAAGAAGAGACTTTTCGAAGACCTCCATGAACGTTACTATAGGCACCGTAGGTGTTTACTTTGTAGTTTGGAGCTGTAGCGGCACGGTTTTACAAATATCCTTAAGGATAACGTGAAATCCCCGATGGGAGTTTTGTCCTCACAGCAACTGGCGATCGTCTGCAACTCACGTGTTTCACTGCAGCGTATTTAGCTACAAAGCCGCTCACGTAACTGTCTCTTACCCCTTCCTAAAGCTTACTATTATTTGCTCTTTCAGTAAACATATCAGATGCGGCGGTACCTTTCAGCCACACTGTGTGTCACTCACAGAGAAAAATATAGTACAACGCGGTCAGACATACAGGAAGTCTTTGCGTTGCTGCCAGGGGCGGCGCCAGGATGTTTTTACTGGGGGGGCAACCACGAAAAGTGAGTTCCTCCGGGGGGGCAAGCTAGCTCTGCTCCTACTAGGTTTTCAATATATGCTTCCGGGCACTTGGGTGGGCATAGGGGGGGCAGGCGAGAATTTTGGGGGGGCTCCAGCCCACCCTTGCCCCCCCCCTGGCGCCGCCCCTGGTTGCTGCTTACGAGGGGCTAGAGTATATCTCTATAGACAAATTTTTTCTCACATTCCAGATATCTTACGCATCGCTTCCAAGGCGTCGTAAATCTGTGTGAGCATGAAGCGAAGGCATAGAAGGGGTGGCAGTGCGAAATGAGTTTGTGATACGCGAGCCCTAGACAATAGCGCGAACGAGACGAGGACGAGAACGAGACGAAGCGACACTTAGAGGTGTGGCGAGTGCATCTTTCACGCGTTCCACGTGTCAGCCCGTTCCTTACCGTTTGTCCTCCCCTGTCACTTGCGCTATTGTCAAGTATGGGACAGAAGGCTCCGGGACACAGACAAAGGTGCGCCAACACGGACTCTCGGTTCCTGTTCGCACAACAGTAAGGCGTGACTGCAACAGGCGACTGGCTTTTTAAGCCCGTATGTCAATATATTCCTGTAACGACGTAACCCATTAGAAATTGTTATGAAAGATTTGTCGCTGTGTTGTACAACTTGCTTGCAGTGCAGTAGTCTCCAACGTTGACCACCATATCCTTGACACATAACAGCGCACTCCCTTCCAGTGTCCACCACCTCCCATAACAAGACATGTGCTTGTCAATCCGAAAGTCACACACGCTGCTGCGCATTGTGGCAGTTGAAGTTCAAGCGAATGTGCGATACCTTGCACCGTCCACGCATGTTTTTCTTTACGTGCGCTAGTCTGGATCCACTCATAGTGTCTGCTCTAAGTGAGGTCGGTCTGACTAGATGACTGTAGCCAACACTAAGCTGTGCTTGTTGAATATATAGTTTCTTTGCGTTGCATATATGTATACTTTAAAAAGAGATAACAGTTTCAAGGTCGCGTGTAACGTGAGTGGCATTGGTACCAAAAGGAAGCACCGTTGCGATGCAGCAAACGTGGCAAATGTCTTTTACAGAATGCATAAGGTCGTCAATCCCATTCAGGCTCGCTCGACAGTGTATACGGTTAGATGCAACATTGTTCAAGAGCTAACGATGGTGGCATACCTCAAGGCACATAAGCTCAATACGACTTGTAGTTCCCAGCTGCGTACTAACAGAAACCGTAAGGCCCTTCACACAGTTGTGACATGAAAGTGCGAATGAGAGAGCTGTGGGAAAGAGGGGCAAGAAGAAAGAAAGCTGTCGTATAGAAGGCGTTCCTCGAAAGCGCTGTGAATGTATGATGCATTCCACTGGTCTCCTAATGATGTGACGGCAGGTTTCGGCCTATCTGTTTAGGCTTTAGCTGCGATGCCACGCCCGATGAACTTGTCCATGACCTCGAATCCGCCGAGTCCGCGTGAGAGGGCCACGATAGCGCTGACTGGCAGTATCCTGCGACAAGGAAGGGAAGACACAGGCACGTGTGTGAACAGGGGGGCTTTGAAGATAACCCAGAATTCTCGTTACAGTGAAACCATCGAGACAGAGACAGCAGTTGGTTACAACGATCGTTTAGTTAAAAGCAGATAGGCTCCAGAAGAGTCGCAGTATTGCGATAAGGGCACTGCAGCTGTCTGCAGGCATGGAGAATGTACATGCTGAACGAACTAGCTATGCTTGTTGCGATGTGAGATGAAAACAATGACGTCTCTCAACATGTCTCAACACATGTACACGCCGAGGAACTCAGCGGTACTTCTCGAACTTCTGGAAAAAAAAATGCAGCATAGAGAAACGCAACCCCACCTGATGTACAACAACAAAAAAACATCGAAGATGAATCACTGCTGTAACACTTCATCAGGATTCACACCTTGTTAGATTATCGCGTATGTTGCTCCTTTATCCTGTGCCTTATATCGGACAAACAGGTAACTTTCTCTGAGGGTCATGTGATGACCATTGTAGCTCTAACGTAGTTTTAGATACTTTGCTGTTTGATGTTCAATATGTGGCTCTCCATATAGTATGGATTTCAGCTTGGCTTGCGCAAGGCTACGGCATGCTGTACGCAGCAAAGAAAAAAGAAAAACACGCGCAGGATACAAGCGTGAACTGCCGAACTCTTAGTCGGCGCTGGTATTTCGTGCATGTCTTTTTATCTCTGAGTTTAGTTTTTTTTTTTTTCAAGTTTTATACTCACAAAAAAAATGATCATGTCTAAGCCCAATTGTAGATCTTTCCTTCTCGGATTCATACAGGGTTCTTTTTTATGTAAAACCTGATAAATTTAAGCCTGACAATGAAGCGGAAGTACGACTCCCAAAGTATCCGATAATGAAACCCAAGTTAGGAGCAAAAATACATGTCCTTGTCTGGCCCCTTCGCTAGGTTGCCTGCTGCACCGCAGTACCGTCACTGCGATTGGTCATCGATCAGTCAACCTCGCCGAATTCACCAGAGGACGCCACAGGTATGCAAATACCAAGCACGGGGCTCTTCGTCGGCCTCCACGAGGCCGGGTGGTTTCGACGAGCCGAGAAGGAAGCTGGGAAGGCTTAGCGCGCGCGCGCAGCATGCACACGTGGCGCGCGCTTTCGTACATAGACCCGTAACACGATCATCGCACGACGAGCAGGAAGCAGGGGGCTGCGTCGATAACGAGGAGAGAAAGCCTTGATACACCGACCGCCCAGAAGAAGGAACGAGGCGAGGTGGTGACGTCACTGGCCGCACCACCATTCGCCCTGCTCGCGTGGCACGCTCGTTTCCTCCATGCGGCTGCGGACTCTCGCTGGCGTTCCCCGATCACGGCCGCTTTACGGAAACGCACACGTGTGCATTTTCATACAGCGGCCGTGCCCCATAAACACGAGGCCATGTCTGGACGAGAGAAGCGAGTTTTCAGGGTTCGTTTCTTTGTTTACAGAACCTTAATGAGAGGCAACAGATACTGAAACCAAGTGAGGTGTGGGGGACGTTAACTGTACTGCTTTAACTGGGCTATAGTACGTAATTAGTATGTTAAACTTTATTTAGGTCCTGAATATCAACCCTTTTAGGTTTACCTTTACATCACAATTACCACAACCTTTTCAGTAATTGTGATGTAAATGGGACGAAGGTAAAGGGCACGAAAGTACAACTTGCCACTGGCAGGGGAAAAAAAAATGTCAGGCCTGCGCTGAATGCGCAGCACAGTCACAGCGAAAGCTCAAAGAGTGGACTTCCAGACCCTTTCTTTTTAATATACTCTTTTGGTAACTGCCACAGACACACTTGCAGGGTACCCACTACGCCATAAATCATCACACTTTTTGTGTAGTAGGGAGGCAATGACTATGCTATCTGATATCATTGTTTGAAGAAGCGTGGTACACGCTACACATTTGCAAAAAAGTTCGCACAGTTTTTTTTTTTTTTTTTTTTTTGCTGTGGCCGACGGCAATGAAGCGTTATGCCTGAAGTTTTTGTGATGGGTTGGAGCATTGGACGACCCACTCTTTACGCAATTTGCATTCTTTGACGCCTAGTTATTCATTTGCTGTTCTAAAATGCTTTATTATTTATACTAACGCGATTTCTTACCCGACATCACGCCTGCCTAAGGCCAGTTCACATGAGAGTTTGAAGCACCAGCGTGGGTCTGGTGTAGAAAGTTCGGCTGGCACGCAGGGGACCCTGGTTCGAACCTCATTTTGTTCCTGGAGTATTTTATTTACTTAATTTTTTCCTCGTTTCCTGCGATAGTGGTTACAGATACCGGCGGCGGACCACTACGGCGCACGTGACCCTTGTGTGATCCCATAATATATTTCGCTAAAACCTGTAATCTTTTGATGAAGCATCCGATGCTCTACCAACTGAACTACGGCGCTGGGTTGCAGGCTCGGTCCCACTTCACCTTTTATCCCACAATTACATCGAAATCACTAAAATACACTTAAAGAAACAGTAAAATTACAATCCCTCTAATGATTTCATTTTGTGCTATAGGTTTCGGCCTGAAATAAAATCAATGAAAACTATAGCTTTCATTGACGTGGCTACATCTGTCTCGTAAGTTGTCGGCGGGGGTGTCATGTCGAATTAAATTGGCCTGTTTGCCTTGCGAATTGTGTTGTATAGGAAGGGAGTTCCGGGTCCCTTTGACAGCGCCGTAGAAAGCTGTAAAAACACATTTAGAACTTCATTGCGGGGAAAGTCATCTTTGATAGCGACGGTCTCGAACGTCGTTGTCATAACTGGCGTTCACATCATACGGAATCAGCAATAAAATTTATGTTGCTCCCTTTTACGTGAATCATGCAGCGTTGCCAGACCGTTCTGAGGTGACAACTCAAACGTCTCAGAAAAAGAGCATTGAACTTTCATAAACCGAAGTCGTCTAGGTGGACTTCCCCGGGTGGGCGCCCTCTTTCTGGGCCCCGTTGGCCACAACGAAGCACTTCGTCGATTTATTTATTTATTTATTTATTTATTTATTTATTTATTTGTTTATTTATTTATTTTTCTAAGTTGTAGGAGAAGAGCAAGTGCACGCCTGCACGACACCACGATAGCTGCGAACAGCACCAACTGCCACACTTACTGTATACTGCCCACTTTCTAACTGCAACGCACTGTTTTAGATGCGTTACCCGTCTCCTGCCAACTTTTTTCATTCATTAATTTATGAAGGAGGGGTTGTCACACCATTAGGAACTTCTCAGTTGATACATGACCGCTAGCTTTAAGCAGTGATGCTGCCACCTGTTTCAATTCCGCTTCTCATTCTTTTTCTTTATCATATCCCTGTAGTCATCGAAGTTTATTTCTAATGACTGTGAATAGGCGGATTTCTTGGCGGGCCCTTTCTGATCGTTCTCATCAACCATGAACTATCGCACCGACTTCCTCTGTATAGAATACTCGCCACAGTTTCAGTGTTACTACGCAACAGCATAAAGATTACGTCCAACTGATCGCTGCATGTGGTGTCCAGCACTCCCTTGCGGCATGGAAAAGCTTCATGCTGCTCGGTCACATGATATGTCGTGTACGATAACATCTTCTATCCAGTTAGCGTGGTCCAATTAACATGGTATATCGAACTGTGATGTATGAATGCGAATTGACGTATCGACTATAGGGAGCATATACCAACGTCATTGAAGACGCCATTTTGTTTTGTTTTCTGTAAAGAAAGTGCAGTCAAAGGCACGCTTTCTTATCTTGATCTGCTTATCTCAGAAACAGTGAGACTGTGAATTGTACAACAAAATGCTCTATGATGATGTCACGTTAATTCCGCCTATTATCCTCAGTACACCTTTTTGGAAGCCATTTCACCACCCCTATATGTAGAGTAGCTAACCAAATATTTGTATATAGTTAAGACCCTTGCATATTCCTTCTTTCTCTCTCGCTCTCCTTGTTCGCCACCAAGTTTAGAGGTGCATATCCAGCTAAGACAGATGCCACTGTGTGCAGTAAATAAGACCAATTTCCGCTTCATTATTTCCTTAATATTTTACTGGTATGAGCATGAACAAAGTTTTATTTTTTTTCTTCAAAACAAGTAATTCATACAGAACATAAGCGTTTCGTGGAATGCGGGCTGCTCACACCGCAGCAATTTACGGGGAAGCATCCATAGTAGTGCGTCGCCCTTGTTGCTGGACTTCATACCGCCACAAAAGGCAAGTATCGAAACGAGAATTTTCGCATTTACAACTGCGCCGAGAATAATTTAGCTAAATTTCCTACAACAACGCGTAAAAGGCGGGACGAATCCTCTAACTGCTCCCCCAACTGCAAATCTGTTAAACATTGATTTTAATAGATGGAGTACACAGGATAATAAACGACACGGAACCAATTCATTGGAAATATCAATAAAAACGGGTAAAAAAACTCGCAATTTGATAGTTACGTAACATCAACATTTCCACAACTCAACGCATTCGTCCCTCTAGTCGTCCGAGTGCTGCGTTTTTTTTTTTAAGACGATAGTCTTTTTTGGTGAGATTCAACGCAAAAATTTTGTTCAGTCTATCTGTCTTTCCGTCTGTCCAACCTTAACGGTACCCCAAACGACACCAAACGATACCCCAAACGGCGGACACCATCCGCAGCGCCCAACAATATTGCTGAAGTTTTAGCATTCATACTTGTGCGATTGTCAATTGAAATGCAATTATCGCGCATATCTGAGGCACCATAACAACACTTCAATGCCCTGTATGCATGTCTTTATTCTAGAAAAGGCATACATAAGTAATTCTAAGGACCGTAGCGTTTACCACGCTGCGCTGATAATGCAACGCCTGTACGAAAAGGCAAGTATTTCCAACGCTTTGCAAAGACGACACGGTGGCGGCACCTGCCCGTCGACATGGCTTCTACATCTTTTCGTCTCCACGACGAGCGCGCACGCCGCGCGCTTCGTTTTCCAAGATTACTGCCAGATA